TGTGTGTGTGTGTGTGTGTGTGTGTGTGTGTGTGTGTGTGTGTGTGTGGGCGTTGTGTGTGTTTGTGAGTGTGTGTGATACATGTATTCGACAAATTTATAATGTGCATACATGCATTGTATGTTACTTGTTCGGTGGAGAGTAGAGCTTACTATGAAATGGATTGACTACAAACGCATGGTGTGGAAAGCGGCAGAGCACTTAGTACTCTGACAAATTTGAAACAGAAGAAGACACGACGACATCGACAACGTTAGTATGGGCGTACACGCGGCAACAAGACTTCTAAATCAGTTGAAATAAGCTGTTAATGGCTGCAGTCAGCCTGAGTAAGTCTGAGTACATACCTATGTGATAGAAGTGAAAGTGTACTAGAGTCGCAACGCACTATGGACATCAGTACAAAGTACATGGTTTTAATTGGTACACACCTCATATTTTTCCTTCTGACTCGGGGTATTAGCACTGTGCACCTTATCCCACATGGCCTCGAACTCCTCGACACCCTCGCTTACCTTTTTGAGCACACGCTCGATTTCCGCTGTTGAAAATAATACAGGCGAGTCAAACCGGAGGTCACGACGAATGCGACATAAAGTATATTCATCGCGGCAGTTTGAAAATTACTACCGACATTCGAGCTCTGGTATTTCAATACCACTAAAAAGTGTATACATAGTAGTTTCATTGCAGTTTTATCTAGCTGTGGCGTGTGCGCTTTGCACTTGCTCTTTATGTAAACTAGTGATATAGACGGGGACGAACACATGTGAGTGGTTGAATGCGTGCCTCCTACAGATCTAAGCTCGCCTTTCAGTAATTATGTTGCTTAGTGTTTGGCTACACCATAATTCAATTTATGATATCGTAATCGACACGTTTTTATCCACAGGATAAAGAGAACGTCGTCGATTGCACACAAAAGAGTATATCTACAGAATAAAGATAACTTCGTCAGTTGGACACAAAGTGTAAACTTAGTGGTCGGGCCCTACGACGCCGACTCAGCTGCGTCCAAACCATCGAGTTCGCTAAAACAATACAGAGAATAATGCGTACGAAGCCGGAAGCAACAGGACCCACCTTGCAGCTTTCGTTTTTCCGCCATCCTGTGTATCCTAGGCTTTCACCACCCACTAACGCATTTACCATACGTCTTCACATAGAGGTGTTGTTCGAATCTGTGCAATATGTCAAACTTTGTACAAGTTAAAGTGGGAATTTTTACAATAAAATAAACAAGGTTCTGCTGTGCTTTTAGGTGACAAAATAGTACTAATCAAATTGTCACGTGAGAATTTAATACATATAATATATCTAAAAATAACATACATGGCTTTTTTTGTATCAGCAATGTGTATTGTGTTGATGTATCATCATGTACGTACCAATCTTTCTCGTCTCGAGCAACTACAATGACCATAGAGGCATACACAACTATAAAAAAATGGGTCAGTTATATTAGGCAATTACCGTTTCCTGAGTCACGTCCTCCACTGTCGCCTGATCTATATTTTCTTCCCAACAATCTGTAACTTTATTCATTAATATACGGTATGGGTGATGAGAAATTTCTTGACCGAATCGTGGAAGTTTATTGCAGTGTGGCCTAAGAGTGTGTGTTAATTTATTAAGTGCAATCGACAGAGAGTGATTATAACTAGAAGACCTTCGAAGTCAACGTCTCCTGTAGTCTAGTGATTGGAACAGTTTTCAATAACTGGACTTAAACAGGCATGAACGGAATGGTCACGGCCGTACTGTTTCCGAATACACTCGTTCTTTATAGGAGATCATCACAACCTTATTTCCTTTGTCGTGGATATTCACTTTATCTGAATATTCTTTTTTTTTAATAAACATAAATGAGGTTGTAGTTGTTGCTAGTCGAGTTACGAGTACTGGATTCGGAGTCGGAAGTCCAGAACATGAAGCTTCTTTGCCATATCCACTACAAACCACTATCGAGTTGTGACTGTAGTCTGTAGTCTGTATGTCGTGTGACATCACCGACATGGAACCATTTTTCTGTACAGATATTATTTAATTTTTATGGAAAGAAACGATAATGAGGGAAAAAAGCAAGCTCATTGATGCTCACTACTGAGGCGAGATAGTGGCCATTATCCCTTTTAGACTGATATTTATAAATATCCGTATAGGAAAGATATTATATAGTATACTAACTCCGCAGTTGTCGAGACTGCAGTAGTAGTGAGACGTATCTTGCACACAATATGAGCACTTTACTGAGTTTAAATGAAGAAAACATAGGTCCGCAGAGATGTGCAAGGCTGTGGATCCTATCAATAATGACCTTCATAACTTTTTTAATAACTCTACTATTAATTCCAGAGTACTACGTATACAAGAACTTTGTTTCAGCAGAGTGTAAGGTAAGCATCGTTTGGCAAAATGTCGAAATTAAAACATTATCATATATAATGAGTAAGAATATTTACATGTGAATATACTCTGCCACCTTTGAATCCGTCGAAACTGAGTTAGTTGGGGCGCAAGTCAGTTTCCATACTCCCATTTGCGATCTATCACTGTCTCTGAACACGAGGAGTGTAAACGCCAGTCAGTACGTTATCACATCTCTCCAAAATTATAACCCACTATGCAGATAAGCAAACGCGTGTACACACTCAAAAAATCACGTCTCAACTGTCGTCTATTCCGTCGACGTTTGTTTTGATGTTATGTTTCTTATACTCATACTCGTACATAGTATACTATATCTATAAAGAATATACGCTTTTACGTATACATATATATATATATATATATATATATATCTATACGTGATTACATAAGAGGCATACGCATGAAGATGTGGGTACGTATATATATATATATATGTGTGTGTGTGTGTGTGTGTGTGTGTGTGGGTGTGTGTGTATGTGTGTGTGTGTGTGAGGACTTGCATCTATAATATATATATATATATATATTTGTGTGTGTGTGTACATATATATATATATATATGTATGTATATATCTGTTATAGATTTACGTGCTACACACGCTTACGTGCACACACACATATATATATATATATATGTGTGTGTGTGTGTGCGTGTGTGTGTGTGTGTGTGTGTGTATGTGTGTGTGTGTGTAGGATATATATATATGTACGTGATTATAAAAAAGATATATATAATTATATATGTTAGTACTCATATATATATACATATATGTCTGTCTGTGTCTGTGTCTGTGTCTGTGTTTGTGTGTGTGTGTGCGTGTATGGGTGGGTGTGTTTGTGTGTGTGTGTGCGTGTAGGGGTGGGTGTGTTTGTGTCTGGGTACGTATATTTCAAGTATATATATATAGGTATGTATAAGTAAGTATGTATATATGTATGTATGTTTGTATATGTGTGTATGTATATACATATATATATATATATTTATATATATGTGTGTGTGTGTGTGTCTATGTCTTTGTCTGTGTCTGTGTGTTTATATATTATACATGCATATATGGGTTTTAATAATGGTTAATTTTGCATTGTTTCATATATCTGAATGTTGACGTGCGACACGAATATTCGTAGGCGCAGGTGTATATGGTCTCATTGCGTAGAAGTTCGGCCTTTAGACACTGTAATTTTTACCACTTGTCTATATGCTTTGCTCTGGGCACCTGGGCATGTCGAGTCCATGTTCAAAAGGTCAGTTTGTTGTGAAGTTTCGTCGATGTACATGTCAGTGAGAGTATTTTCTCATATGTAGTCACAGACGCTGCTGCCAGGGGTTTGTTGTGTACATCGAAAGAGCATGGAATCAAACTTTGGACGTCCCTTTCGTTTGGCCAAGTGCCTTCTCACATGGATGTTCTAATTTTCACGTATAATTTATAGGTAACGGACAAGAGCGTCTACTCATTTTTCATCAACGAAGCCAAGATAGCCAATTTCGTCACGGTGTACGATGAAGAAGGAGAGGTCACCGAGCGATTCGAGGTATATCTATCGAGTGTACGCGTGAACACCGCAGTATGTAAAATTTACTTCAAATTAATCGCCAATGAAACAAAAGGGAACGGTTGCTCGAGCTTCAGTTCTTGTCCGCGTGTGATTTTGTGCATTTCTATATATCGCGTGCACGAGTATTTGTGTATTCTTGTGTGACTTCCTAAACCGTCGTCATGTCGTGTGTGCACAGTTGCACGGTATCGGGTGACTCGATTTCAATCGCTCGTATTCCCTCACCAAAGCTTTCTGTTCCGACTTTCTCTGCTCTCCCTGGTTTCGGGATATCACTGCTCAACTCTAGGCGTATGCGTGTAATCCGATCGACTGTGACTCTAAGAGTGGCGGTTTCATGGATAAGCAAACGTGGTTGCGATCATATAATGAAGGACAGGTATATCCTTGTATGTACAGTCCGATGCATGCGACTGGAGGCTACAATTGGGTGACCTACGATCCGGTTCCTTATTCGGTATGATCCCAAGCGCGCTATGAGATGAGAATTCAATGCAGTCTTTTTCGATTCAAACAAACCGTACAAGCGAGGCACAAACGTGTTTAGTCGAGTTTGTGACTGATCTGGTTGCGATACATGACAATTACATTTGCCTGCGCCTACTAATCGCGCTTTCTTTCCAATCGGCAGTACTCCATAATGGTCATGTGGGTGGTGATGGGTCTCATCATGTTGATCTCGTTTCTGCTCTATCTTCATTCCCTGTGCTGTGCGCCGGTTGACAGTATGTTCGTATGCAGGATTGATAGTATCAAATGTGAAGCATATGCATATTGTATGTTTTGCACGCGTGTTTAGGGCAATGTGGGCGTCTTGATTTCGATTATTATCGGGGTCGCATGGCCGCTCATTTGTTGTCCTTTCGCTTTTTCGATGTCTGATACATGTCTTCCTGTTGCACGCAGATGATCATCTGCGCGGAGTCTGTCAGTGTACTAATTTTGCACGCGTTTAGTTGTGTATAGTTATTGGGCAGGCTCCTTATCATATTTGAAGTCCACTGACACTAACAGGATCTTTGCATAACCAGGTGTCTACAGTTACTGTTATAGGATATGGGTACTACTGAGGGATGATTTCGGGATGGGCGAGAAGGCCAGCGGGTGCTGGGTCGCCTTTAAAAGTCTCTTGCCCTGCAGAGGGTGCCGAAGCTATAAATACACACGGCAGGTGAGTCTACCCTTTTTGTGTGAAAGGTATTCATCGAAATTTATCCGAACCTGCCTGGTCTGAAGTTTATCATTACAAATATCATCAGGATGTATTCGCATACTTCTTGTTTGTAATCCCTGCTGATGCACCTAAATGCCCATATACAGATGGATTATGAGATGGATGTGGTAGAACTCGACGAGCACAACGAACCGCCATCGTATGAGGGGCCTTCAGAACCCCCACCAGACTATGGCCACGTGTACCACGATTAATCACAAGGAGCAACCCATGTCGTATATATAACTGCAGAATGGCCACCGAATGCGCCGTCGCTATCATTCACGGAACATAAGTAAATAACAAAAACCTAGTCAGGATCACCCCTATCCAACATTAAATATCATTGGGGACTCAATCTATATGATGTATCACAGTTTCAAAATCTGACGCCAAGACAATAAGGATTTCACGAAATATAAATCGCGGGTTTATACTTCGACTGGTTATGGAGATTGTTACATTCCATTCTACCGCTCCTAGGCGCTTGTTCCAATACAGCCTCTATGAACGAAGTAAGGTTTTTTGGTGTTACAGTTTGATTCGCGTGTGCGTTGTCTTTACGGTGGCTTCAATCTACTATGCGTGTTTGCCCGAGTTATATCGTGTTTTCCTTGTCCTGAGCCTATAGGGCTACTATAGGGCACTACTACATGACATACAGGTACACTCTCCATAGTAGCGGGTGCGGTATGTGCTGATATTGTTTGTTGTCAATCATTCAACAATTTTTCAACTTTCGTATTTGCGCATAAATTTCTTCTACATTTACACTACGGATGTGCTTCTCGTTTCGGGTCGTCGTTTGGCATACCTAGCGGCGAGCCCTATTTCCGCTGTCTAATAAAGTATGTGATCCACAATGTACTAGTTGTGGAATGTGCGTATGGGGTGTGTCATCGGTAACCCTACACCTAATTCTTCTAAATATTTGCCTAAAATTGTTTAGTATGTGTCAGTGGTGAGATACATCGCAATCTGATTCCGCGCATTTGATGAACGTGGGCGGTCAAACGATATGCAGGAGATGCGTACTGCTAGCAAGGGTTTGAACCCGAGTTAACCAGGTCGTTCATGATACTTCTCAATTCGTTTGTTGCACTCGTCTGATGCACACCCAACGGCCTTAGAACTAGCTGTGCGCCTTTGCGCGTGTCGATATAGACATCCTTCGCAATGTAAATTTTCTTCAAACTGGGATAAATAAGAAAATACGCCAAGTCAGAGCTCGATGGGCTGCACGGTATCAGTTCGGTAGCAAACATAAGCACAAATACAAAACCATATCGGAAACGAGATAAATAACTTGAACGCAGCTATCATTCTAATAGGCATAGCATAATTAGTACGAAGTCTCAGGGAAACTGGTTATGAAAAGCAAGATTTGCACATAAGTGATCGTGAATCTTTTGTGTGTATTTCCAAATGCAACACATGCGCATATAACTTGTCACAAGGGTAACAGTAACTTACTCATAATTCATTTGCGGTTCGGTTTTCGACTCCGAATCCTGTGAGAAAAAGATGTGAAGAAATCCGATTAGTTTTGTTCAGTCAATCTTTGTGAAGATACACACGTGAGTGGCGAAGCATTCGTAGGAAGCCTCACGAATTGTTTGACTGTCGAGCCGATCTCTCATGTATACTCTTATACAACTGCACAAGGACAGCAGGCGCACACACTATGGCTGTCAATATATGCCGACGAGACATAGAGCGCAGTATGAAGCATGGTATGAAGTATGCCTTGTAGCAGAAGCGGCAGAAACAACCACGCATCTGACAGGTACGACCAGAATTACTCTGCCAATATTTATAGAGCTACCTCCAATATCACATCGCAAGTTGCTTGATTCAAAGCACGAATAATTTTACCTTTCCTATGCTATTTTCAGCCTCATCGCATAGAAGAACGTCATACGGGACATAATTCGTTGTGAGCTGATCTTTCTCAGAGCTGTCACGGTGGGAGGACACTAGCACACATAGTAAGGTTATATGTCTGTGGACTCGTTTGAGATCTCCTAAGATACTTCTTGCCTCCTTCGCATGTTCCCTGCCATTCCAGAAGTGTGAATCCCTATTACCCTTGTTTGTTTCGTTCGGCACGCTGTTGAGATCTTTGGCGAACAGCTCCAATGATCCACGCTTCCTCGTCAAGTTCTGCGAGATATATTATGCAGGATCAGTACTAGGTGTGTACTGTGGTTTGTGTAAGCTATAGCCATTCCGACATTGTTTTTGAGAACGAGACATCGAAGCTCGGATGTGATACCAGTTTCGCCAACCGGTTCATTGAATTTTTTTTTGGATATTACATATGTATTTGCAAATGGAGAATACTTTCTATACAAAATCACCTAAATCCGCGTAAATAAACACACATACTTAGTCAATCTCACCTACCATAATTTCACTTTGCTGTGCAGTACTCAGTCGGAGCACATGGTTGAAAATATCATATGGATCGTCAAACAACACCACAGCCTCCGAAGTTCCATCTTCGACAAAAACTCGCGCACTACAACGCAAAAGTCCTTTGTCACCTTCCTGTGATAGTCTCAAAGATACGTTTGGATACGAAAATAGAGAATGCTATTCGAAAGAGCAAAATTATAGCATCATATTGACAGGAACCTGTGGCTTCCGATACAATACGAACCAGTGCATATAGCTAATATATAAGCACGCTTTGCAACTATTATTTGCTCAGGTGCCAGAGCCAACTCGTACGAATGATGCCTCGTATGCGAGTGCATTAACGTATTCGTGACTTCAGGTTGGTATTACAAAGTTATAGCCAATCACTTAAGTAAGAAGGATCTGTAAACCCCGATTGAGCACTTCCCATATACGATACATTATAATACATACCCGACCGGGATGATTCTCTTGGCACACCAGGCATGTAATCCGCATGGTTTGCCCACACGTTACGCAACCATGCGTGAGCTTGATGTGCTGTATTGTGTTGATGAAACACCAAACAAGATGCGGACGATTCTGCACATTTACGGCTTTTTTTACCCTACTTGCGTGCTGGTAACTGTCAGAGGGCTCGTTCGATGTCCCGGTAGGACCAGAAGACAGAAGGAAGTCCTTCAATAGCCATTTGTCATAGTCGCCTAATAGGCGTGGGAAAGTTTATGCGAACATTGTTCAGACACCTTTGTTACAGCAACTCTAATAGTAATCGTATGGCGGAAGTATACTGATACAATACAGCTAGCCAAAGTTTAGCAAAACCATGAGAATGCACATCTAACTTGACAATCGAGGTGCACGTCGCACATGAAATAGTAAAAAGCAAAGTAAAACGAGCCGCAACTGCCACAAATATCCAGAGCGTTGTCAGTACCGTAGTTCACAGCAGGCTGTATTTGCGGTAAGATACTATTTTTTCCAGTGCGAGGGTCAACACCGTAGTGTATGACACCCTTCTGAGTGACTTGATCCGCAATGGCCCCTTGTGCATCCCCATTCGGTGAGTGTGTATCAGCTACCGGCAACGCCTGGACAGTGATGTTGCTCAGGGCTTTGAAGTGGGCGTACAGATTGCCCTTCCGCGAAACACGGGCATGGACACGCTCGAAGCACACAGTCGACCCTGCGGATAGTGTAAAGTCACAACTGTGTGAATCATTCGAACGCAAAGAATTATGGTCAAGGTCAACACATATTGACACTACGGGAGTATTGGGAAGCTACTAGCATGTGAGTTGTGGAAAGTCCGTATCTTGTAATGCAAATCCGCATACCTGGTATCAGGCCCATCAATATTTTTTTGCGCCCGGTTTGCAGGGAAACGTAGACATCCATCACCTCTAGAGGGCTGGCTATGTCCGCCAGCCTTACTTTGACAGTCTGCATAAAAATAAGACAAGAAGTTGTACGACCTAAGCACACATTTGCTTTGCAGTCTGTAAACAAGGAAAACGATAAATAGTACAGTGTCCAGGATTAACCCATCTTTTACTTTGGCAGAACTTCAAGTCACAGGAACGATAGCTTGTATGATGGTATGGATTGTGCACAACACATTTACTAGTGCCGTCGGAGTCGAACAAATTCATCCAAGGTTTAACCAAGGAGTGTGCCACTTAAGCGATACGTGTTCCTCGAGAACCACACTTAGATATGCAAGTGTACGCTGGAAGCTCTCAGATTCGTTCGGCTTACCTCGGATGTGTCATTCGGATCTTCCGCGGCGACGAAGATGCGTTCTTTTACTATCCCGCGCACGGATACGAAGTCAGCCAATCGCGTGGACGCTGCGGCCAGGGAACAATAAGGCAAGTGATTTGGCTTTGGTTTTTAAAGACATATCCAGTGAAAATTTCATATGTAAGTAGCCGGAAATTAAAGGTATGTATAAACGCCTTTGATGCATCAAACCCGAATACTAGACATACGGCAAGAATGCCAAAGTCATAGCTAGTAAGTTTTTTCACTTTGACATGTATTTGACCCGTTAGATATACCTTCTCGTTTTTAGCCATGTATAGTTTCGATATCAGCCTTAAACAGGAAAATGTTGTCGTAAATACACTTGAAAACAGGCCTTTATGTTCTATATTAAATCCAATTTTAGTCAAGCCCGCCTCGCACCTCGCACCACAAAAAAAGGACACCCCATGACAAATCTACCATGTCCAAAAAACCGCACCCAAAATGTCAACTTCGTAAAACAACTGCTAATTTTTTTGAGCTAGCACATACCATTCAGTAGGTGCCGGACATCATACAATTCATCAAGATGGGAGAGTACAGTATCGCTCAACCGCACCATCCCACTATCCCGGTCAGTCGCAGTGTGAGATACGCACTCTCTATGCATCGACTCAACCACCGTGAAATCATCAATAACCCACGAATCTCCGCTCGGCAAAATCGCATTCGTCCGCGCATTGGTTAGACGATAGTGCTTCCTTGGAACCAAAAAGGGAAAGTTTTCCTCACCCTTGCCTAGTAAGGTAAGCTGTACTGTCACGGGGGGGTTCAGGCCTGCGGGCCTTCCACGGCCTCGACCACGCCCTTGGTTGCGGTGCGCGGTTTGTGACTAAATAGGATATGCATGATGATACGATCACATAAATATTGAAGTAGACCATTCACAGACGTTGGTAGCACACAAGAAAACCTGCAGATTACACTGGACTGTATAAACACTTGAATACCTCATTGGAATTACGCTGTGTACTGTACCGTGAGTGGACCGAGATTGGACTTCGGGCTCTGTCAGGTTATAATTGAACGTATTTGATTGTTTATAGCGCTCATGACGCTCGGATTGGCCTCATATGAAAAAGCTGGTACTGGACTATGTGCAAATCGGGTATTCGCCAGCGGCAACAAATGTAAGTGAATCATGTAAGTGATATATTATGGAGACGTGCACAAGCATTTGCCCGAGTACTTACAGTTGCGGTTATGTTGGAGTGTAGAACCACGGCGGTAGCGTACGACTCGCAAGAGCCCAGCACCTTACTTGTTTCATGCTTATTCAGGATCATGATCTCGGCATCGATTGGTATACGACCATTGCTCACAACTCTTTGTTTACCAGTGATGGGTCGTTCTATTAGTATGCAAGTAGCATTGCATACGGTGCATAGTGAAGTACATGTCAGAAACAGGCTTATCAAGTTTGAAAACAACCAAAACCAAGTCGGCACTTCAAGCATGTAATTTGTAACACTCACCTCTGTCCGCCGTTGCACTCGGGACTTTACGTTTTCCGGATTTAGTCTGCAATAAAAGGATATAGATAATCAACTTCGGTGTCGAGAAACATGTCTCTTTCTTACTACTATCTACACAAGCCTGAAAACTAGAATTACAAACGCAAATTAAAACGTGGTACGGGTGTATAGTCGCCAACTACTGTGAACTATCTAGAGCGGACTCGTAATATACATCGATGAACACACAAGGGAACACCTAGCTGTTGTGCGTGGCTAAGCAACAGACTGTCCGCAAAATTGTTCGACGTACACCGCAAAGGTGGATGGGAAGATTTTGAGGACTTACCAACTGCAGGACATCCTCCTTTGCCGCGTAGATGTATTTTAATACGTCCGCCACACCACGACTATCCTCAGGCAGGTCTTCAATGACCAGGTAAAACTTTCTGAGCGCGAAAAGACACCGAAGTGATTCGGGCTCTAACCCAGGCACAATGACGTCGATCGCATCCTTATCACAATCGCTCATCTTCAGACATCGCAAACTGGATGAGTATCTGTGGGTTGAAGATGGGTCAGTTACCATCCCCCCGCCCACTCCTCTCATATTGCATACAGAATCAAGAACCATCACATATTGCACGTCTTCCGTACCATACGACTGCTTCTATATGCATACTCGTGTACTGTTGGAGACTTGCGCACACTAGATGCACACATACCGTAGATAGTAGACTAGCACACTATTATCTTTCCCTACGAAACCGCTGGCCACAGAGGAAGCTTCCAGCGTGTTGAATATCTGCTCCGACCTGTATATCCGGTATCGGCCACTGTCCCCGTTAGGATCTGATACATCCACCATCGCATTCGTTTGCAAGACACGCACACTGCAGACTTCTCTAATGAAGCGGATACTTGGCATCGGCGTAGAAGGCAGTCGCATGAGTGTGCACGCCCCACGAGTATTATGGTTGATAAATTCTTGGTAGACCTTTTGAGCACTGCTAGTACTTTCTGCAACTCCCCTGTGTGCGTATCGATTTGAAGGTGGTGCTAAGTAATTGTCACATCTTCAAAGAGAAAAATTTGCTACATTAGAATATTACAATCAATACAGCAACATTCAACACCCGTGGACTGGATGAGAAGAATTCTAATTCAAAGATCAGACAAGTTAGTCCAAAACACAGATGCACCATTATTTGCACAAAACCCAGAACTCACCCAATGTCTTCCTCTTCGGAATCAACCCCATTTGGATACGCGGCAAATTTATTTGCATCTACCTCTTCAGTATTGGTTGTAGCTTTCGTAGCCTTCAGTAGCTTGTTTACAAGGCCTAGAAGACGAGCTCGGGTACTTGGAGGCAGGCGCATGAACCAGTCGATCACTCTCTGCCATCGTGACAATAACCGCAAGATGCTTATGTTAGTAGTAGAGATACGAAGGTATCTTTTGGCAAATTCGAATCTTCTCAGTACAATCGCCATCTTTGTACACAAACGATTGGTGAGCCTGTACAAACTTACCCGTATATCATTGGACGCAATGATATCTGCCGAGAGATACGGTTCATCGTTTGTGTTGGGAATACGAAGACCTTCAAATGAGCATCCTTTAACCCTGAAAATGCCCTGGAATTTTAACGAAAGCACTAAGGATGCCCGAAATGCCCAAAGGTAATCCCTCACCGACGAAATCATCTGCTCCGATACACCAATTGAAACTTGTCTCAGCATGACTGATCACAACACAACACGAGCTAAAATGTGCAAATAACTCTCAATTCAGTTGATTTGAAGGAATTGAAGAGAAACAAAACAAATCTTCACCAGAAAATCAGAAGTTTTAAATGGGCATACCGGAAATGCTGAGAAAGAGTCGCGCTGCGGTAGAGTCGGCACAAACGGCGCATCTGGGATATCGGAATATGTACACACTACCACAGAGCTGTACGAGCAACACGCCAATCCCACCAGAGTCCGCGTATCCCGCGATGTGGCGTCAAAAATGGGATGTGCATTGTGTACCTTCACGCTTGCGCCTACGCGGAAGCCGCGGCCATATTTGGTGGCTTCTTGATGGGTCAAGAACAGGTAAAGTTTGCCGTGGTCGAGAGAGTATATCCGATGCGACATACTCTCGCTGTGAGAGATTTGGCCTAGATATGATACGGTGGGAACCTCTCCATGGTTGAGGCATTCGTCCGGTGAGCAGTCTATGGTATACGAAGCGAGGTAATTAAGATAGTCAGAGGGGAATTTAGTACAACTACATTGGGGTAGATACCGACCATATTGTCCAAACAAATATGAAGCGAGGCATGCGTAGACAGGAAGGGAGGAAGAGCTTTACTGTGCAGAAATATGAAAATATCTTGGATGGCGAGAAATATACCATGTGGTCCATGTCGGCCACTCGAATAAGGTTCGTAGGTTTCCAATGCGGGATACAGTAATCCGCTTAGCACCACAGTCCCTGTCCGCTGCAGAAATAGCTCTTTGGCCGACTGTGCTTCAAGGATAGGAAGTTCATACAGCCGCTTTCTCTGCAAGCATGTCACCAGACACACCTTACCAATGTGCAGGAAAGATCGCCAGTGTACTTGGTCGCCGCCCTCAAACAGTACTATACTCTTCGGACATCTTGCCTACACATTGTGAACGACTTTCATTATTTGATAGCAACGACAATAGAACATGATGGGCGATACACAAACCCAGATCCATCCTGCACTGAATAAGCCTTGGTCACAAGCAACTCGCGCTTTTAAAAAAAAAGGAAACTGCTGCAGTATTTCAAATCCCCGAAATTGCCGAAGTTGAGTGATATTTAGCGTCCACACTTACCACACGTACACACGCATCAACAATCACATTGACTTACACATTTCATGCGCGGCTGTAGTGGAGGCTCGTTCACTTGATATGAACGTAATTCTACGAAGAAAAAAGTCCTACCCTGCAGCTGAATCACAGGGCTTACAGCTGAGACAATACCCACCACATTGAGGACAATCCGCGATCTGAGAGAGATAAAAGCACACGAATCAGCCATATTTTGGAGACTAACAATAGGCAAAGTCCGCAGTGGAAAAGACGGACAGATATCGTTCAAAACAGCGTCACGGGGGCGCAACTTCAAAAACCAAAAATACACGTATACAC